ACTTGCTTACGTGAGTCAGCCTTACCTATCACCGGGTTACTATGGGTCGATATGTTAACCTGGAGCTTATCGCAGAAAGACATTTGTTCCGCATAACGCTGAGCTGCTTGCTTAGCCACGGAATACCCACTGTGTACGGATTTCTTAATTTGTCTCATATAAGACTCGAATGGAAATGCTGAGTACCTATCTAACGGTCCATGTGCCAGAACATCGTCAGGAAGATGCTGTAGCGAATGCACATTATAAATTAAGTTTTCACATCCGTAACACCATTCATATTCTCTTAGAAAATTCCTTAAATCCATCCTGACAGATTCTATCACCCTATTATAAAACTTAGGATGCGCAAGCAAGTAAATGGACAAAGCAAGACGTTTAAAATTTAGATACAACGGTTTAGGCAGAATACTTTGAAGAATAACCGGGCCTAAGTATAGAAAAAATGACCTACACTCGGACGCCTTCCATACCGATACGAAGTCAAGTGTACGGCATTTACGCTGAAAGTCGGAGGGAATACTTTCCACGCACCTAGATATCAACTTATTTATAGTCCTAATTACACAGGAGTTTACGTTCTTTAGCCTCTTATGTCCTAATTCTATCCAGAGAGTCACAAGTTTCTTTGTGACGCCTAAGTAAACCATGTGCATGGGATCTAAGGGGGAAGTTAAGATCATGTCTATCGGCAGACTTTCGAATATAGAGTGTCCTTGATGGTGAATAGATTGTGTCTGATTCCGGAAACTGTCGTCAGTTCTTAACGTATATTCACCGTTTGGGAAAGTCATCTTTCCATCAAGTCGTCTACCATTTACAACACACCGGTCGCAACCTACCTTTCCGTTGTGATTACCTAATGTCAGAACGAGCAGGTACATCACACATTACCGCAGTTAACTTAATAGCTATGTATTTGTTGAACCTAACACTAAGTAGACCCATGTCAGTCATTTCTTTTATTTCAGAAGTAGTGTCGGCGGAAAGTCATTCAGAACCCGGTCTGCATCTCGGATACTCAGAGAGGTTGATGGCATTAAATTCATTAATATCCTGTTGATCTTCTCTTTACGATTCAAGGGCTTGAGACAGGGCAAATCGACGGTAGAACATCCTATAAGAAATTTATTAGCGTATGAACTTCATACACGTACCATTATCTTCCAGAAGCCTTTCAATGGTACAGCTTGTGGAAGGTATTACAGTTGAAGGAATATCATGACAATTAGTTTCTCTTTTTTCACAGTTGAAATCATGAGTCAATTGAAGCTAGACCACCATCGAAAACCACAAAACCCCCTCTGAATTAGTTTCTCTGTCAACTGACGTACAGATTTTTTGAAACATGACTTGCTTTCGTTTAGTAACTTTGCTATTAAAAGCACGACTAAAGGTAACTGACTTTACCACCTATATATGTAGAAATGATGTCACAAGTCCCTTCTCATACCAGACTTGCCGACCATCATTAGAAGTCTCTTGAGGACGTGCACAAGTGTACAACCAAAGTCCATCAGTAGTGGGTTTTACTACCATCTTGGATTGAAGACCAACCTGCTAAGATATGTTGAACGTTGGTTGTGTACTTGTGATTTTGACACTTTACAATTATAGATTAATATAGATGGGCTTTCTATGTCAAGGAGCTCAAGTCAACATTTGTGGCCTGTATTAGGACGGATCGTTGCCCCTATACTTAGTGATGTCTTCATGATAGGGATCTACGGAGGAATTACTAAGCCGGCACAATTCAACGAAATTTCCGCCGACACTACTTCTGAAATAAAAGAAATGACTGACATGGGTCTACTTAGTGTTAGGTTCAACAAATACATAGCTATTAAGTTAACTGCGGTAATGTGTGATGTACCTGCTCGTTCTGACATTAGGTAATCACAACGGAAAGGTAGGTTGCGACCGGTGTGTTGTAAATGGTAGACGACTTGATGGAAAGATGACTTTCCCAAACGGTGAATATACGTTAAGAACTGACGACAGTTTCCGGAATCAGACACAATCTATTCACCATCAAGGACACTCTATATTCGAAAGTCTGCCGATAGACATGATCTTAACTTCCCCCTTAGATCCCATGCACATGGTTTACTTAGGCGTCACAAAGAAACTTGTGACTCTCTGGATAGAATTAGGACATAAGAGGCTAAAGAACGTAAACTCCTGTGTAATTAGGACTATAAATAAGTTGATATCTAGGTGCGTGGAAAGTATTCCCTCCGACTTTCAGCGTAAATGCCGTACACTTGACTTCGTATCGGTATGGAAGGCGTCCGAGTGTAGGTCATTTTTTCTATACTTAGGCCCGGTTATTCTTCAAAGTATTCTGCCTAAACCGTTGTATCTAAATTTTAAACGTCTTGCTTTGTCCATTTACTTGCTTGCGCATCCTAAGTTTTATAATAGGGTGATAGAATCTGTCAGGATGGATTTAAGGAATTTTCTAAGAGAATATGAATGGTGTTACGGATGTGAAAACTTAATTTATAATGTGCATTCGCTACAGCATCTTCCTGACGATGTTCTGGCACATGGACCGTTAGATAGGTACTCAGCATTTCCATTCGAGTCTTATATGAGACAAATTAAGAAATCCGTACACAGTGGGTATTCCGTGGCTAAGCAAGCAGCTCAGCGTTATGCGGAACAAATGTCTTTCTGCGATAAGCTCCAGGTTAACATATCGACCCATAGTAACCCGGTGATAGGTAAGGCTGACTCACGTAAGCAAGTAATAATGTTTAGGAATAGTAAAATAAATTCATTTAAGCCTGATAATGTTGTAGTAGTCAACGGAAAGCCGGGATTAATAACTGATATTCAAGAGAATGGACTCTTAAAATTCAGGCAATTCACCGACCCACAAAATTGCTTTGAAGATCCATTACCTTCCACTGACATGGGAATATTTAAATGCTCCGTAGTTAGCAGTGAATACAGTTGGGTTTCGATTCATGATGTTGACTGTAAATGTATGTCGATAAATTGTGTTAATCATTTGGTTATTGTCCTTTTGTTACACACTGTTATGTGATTGTATTTCCTTTAATTTCCTGTTGTGTAATATTTAGTCTCCCAACAATAGGTACGTAATCCTTAAGGCACCAAGCAAAAGTAAGTTGGTGATTGCAGCTGGACGTTGGGTTATTGGAGAAAAACTCTGTCTGTATTCAAGGGAGAACATTGATCTTCATCTGCAAAACAATGACCTACCTGAAGAAAATTGGTCTATGTTCAAATGCAGTGTTGTCCACAAATGCGGTTACTTACAAACATGCAAACGATCGCTTCTTAGAGATAGTTTCAAATCTGCCAATGATTTGTTGGCATCGTTCCAAAAATGCTATGTTACTAATCAGAACTCTTCGCCGGACGAAAACACGTTGCCGTTAAACACAGAAAAGCAAAAGAAGTCAGTTCAGTAATCTTACTTAAATTTCGTAGAGGTGCATTGAAACGTAAAGAAGGTTTTCTTTACAATTCCGTGGACATGGATGTCGCAGAGATGCAGGCTGGGAATAGCCGCGTTCAATATCAAAAACTTCGGATGTTTGAGAAGGTTGTCTCTCCGATTGCGAAGTAAGTATCTTTAATTTGGACATGTCAATTAAGCAGTTCAACACAATTAGACACCTCGCCCTCCACGTCCGAGAATAAAAATCTAATGGCTGAGTAAGTCATCCCTACGATCAAGTTCAATTTTTCCGATTTGAAAGGATGCATACTGTGCAGCTAAAAATATTGGCAAGCTTGAGTGAACTTAATACAAATAGGAAGCTGATGCTCTCAAAGTTCGCTGGCCGCGAAGATCCGCGTCAATTCGACTGTGGACTATCCAGTCAACATTTCCCTTTGTCATCTGAAGAGGAACTGGGAACATTGGATGCTTGTCTTGAGCAAAAAGACGTGAGGGACAGGTTTGTAAGCACACAACATGATTTTTATCCTTCATTCCTATTACAGATGGCCATGTTGACGCGTTTAATGGATGATGACCCTAAAACCTCCATGCAATATCTTCTGTCCTACATCATGACACCTGAAGTCGCCATTAATTTCACGCTACTTGGTACTTCATCAAAACGAGCGCTTCAGAAGTGCTGGTTTTATGGCTGCGTGCAAAGTAAGATAGGTAAGGTTTTTAAACTTCAGGTGCACTCACTAATCGATTCCTGTCGTCATCTGTCAACGAGAAAGACCTTGCGAAACTGTATGACATGGCTACGCAGTTATTTTCACAACATGAGAGACAAAGTACAGAAGCGTCATCTACGGAAGAAAGAACACGTACGTACGACTTTAAAGTGATTATTATTCCGTGTTCAAGGATATAACCGTAAGTTCAGCTCCAAGTTTCTAGTTGTGCAAAACAAGTTTCCTAGATCTAGTAACATTTTTCTTCATTACATTTTAGAATTCACAAGAATTATTTGAGTCTCCATAGTCCAACAGGCGTGATGGAAAGAAACAATACTTGAAATGCCTGGTCCGTGACAATTGCAATTACATTATGAACATTGATGATCTACCATCTTCAAACTACTCATAACGTTGTACATTAATAAGCTGTTTGTTTCCAATAAAAATTTTGAACTTATACCATATTTTACGTACATTACATTATCCGTGTGCTGTGTTGTGGGAATGAAGGCGAACACAGAAGGCGGTTGGGGTAAATACAGAAGCGTTTTAAAAGGGGGCGCTTGATTACATCGGTGTGTATGCAGTAGAAAAGTAGACAATGTAGCGGATAGTTAGGATAAAAGTCGGCAATTCGTCGGATATTTAGGGTAAAAATAGGCAATTTAGCGACATTTGAAAAACAGAGCGACATAAGTGGAAATTCCGCTTTATTTACCCCGGACAGGCGAAAAAGCAGACGTTTTGGCGCATTCCCGCTTTATTTCCGACTTAATTTCCAATGCATTTTCGCCTTTATTTACCCTTTATTGATTGTTTGGGTTGATGTGTTTCTATCGTAGGGTTTTGTGAAGATCAAGCGTCTTGTAACTGTTTACCAAGGAGGCAAATCATTGTACACAATTAACCATGAACTATCTGAATTAGTGTCATGCAATAGTTTTCTAAGCACTGGTGGTGGTATATTTTACTTTGTGGCAGTGAAACATTCAAAAGTTGGATATAAGTCTGTTCGAAGCGTTGCTCGTTCATAGTCCCTACGTCAGACGTAATGTACCCAGAATTTGTATTATTTATTACTAACCAACAAATTTAATGGACCACCATTCATTTGTTATCCATGTTGTAGGTGAAAGTTTACGTGGAACCACACTGGATAATTTAGATATCAGTCACAGTTCGGCATTGTTACAACTAATTACTGCACCACATACTTCAACGACAAATCCTGTCCATTGTTGCTTGTATCCTGTATCTACATTATGCAAGAACATTTGATAAAGGTATAGTAAAGATATCAGAGTTAAATGCTCTTATAGATTCGGAAACATTAAATCAAACAGCGCTAAACTGGTGACGCTAGTGAGTTTCACCTTACCATATATGTGTTTATAGAGGTATTCTAGAACTCCAGAAGACTATTATCTCACCGAATTTCAGAGATATCAAATAATAGGTGCTGATTTTCCCCCATCAAATGACCGACAATAATCAACCTGACCATTCAGACAGTATACGAGAAACAAGTAAGTAGTTGATAATTAATGGAGTTTTTATATATATATATATATATAATTCGGTAACTTTTTACTGGCTGTGTGATGCATCAGTGTGTGTCAAGTTGGTGGGCTTCCTACTTGTTCAATTCCAAATAACTGAAATAAGTTTGCACATATCATCCATCAGTTTTTAGTTACATCCCTGGATCATTGAATTACAGCTTCATACGTACACATATAATAATAATAATAACATATGTTGACTACCTTCATCATAAATTGTTAGTATTATCAAGGTGCCATAGAGTCATTAAGCAGTTCGAAAGAGGATACCTTGAGCCACATGGAGTGTTGTGTTTTAAGACGTTTCTTTAATCAGTAATTTTGTGTACTATTTGGTAGTTTTAAATCTCAATTTAGGTTATGCAAACGATAATCTGTTTAGTCAAAAACAGCAATATGGAGAATTCCTTGAAACCTTAATCAGAAACCTAAGATTCATTTCACATGTGCCAAACGTTAAGTAATACTGTATTACGAGTCTACACTAACATCACATGACTTTAGATTGGGAAATGAAGTGATTAAATGTAAAACTGTTTACTTATTTTGCAGTGAGTTTATCCCAATGTGATTCCCGTAAAGATAGAGAACTTTATCTATCAAATGGGGTTTGGGAATGTTTATCAATGCACGAGTATGATGTGCACTAAGCGATTTGTGCTTCAGCAGTGAGACCATACAGTGTGTACTCTGAATAGTATCATCATGTATGTTAGTGACCCTCAGTTACACGACTAAAATTCCGACGCATTTAAGCATGTCTATCTACGTTTTTCATTGCATCTCGGACCTTGCTATTTCCCTTATTTGTGATCTTTTCAATTACATCTTTCTAGTTTGTTTTAGTATCTTCTCACCCATGCAGATCTACGTGGTTGTAGCACATATTTACTTGGACCAATGAGCTTTTGTAGAGTTCTGTTCCGTCATACTTGCTTCCTTGTCTTCGTGCAACTATTAACCCCAAGTAAATGTGGCTGATCGATGGCCGAGTCATTTTCGTATTCTATGTTATAACATATGTATGGGCTATGTGAATTAGCCCAAGTAATTAAACCCAAACGGACAGTTTCCTTAATAAACCAGTTTACAAAATAGCTATACAGCGTAAAAAGTTATATTGCCTGATGGGGAGCTATTAGAGAATGTATATTTACATTTACATTCCTACTTAAGGTCGATGGAACCCTTATCTGCTCTCAACCCAAACGTTTAGAACGATGGGCGGAACACTTTAAGGAGCAGTGTAGCTGGCCTTCAGCTACTGCACAACTACCCACTACTCCCAGAAAACCTGAATGGAACATTGAATTAGGTCCCCCGACCCTACCTGAAGTTCAAAAGGCTATAAGTAATCTGAAACGAGAAAGAGTAGCTAGTCCATATGGATTGGCTCCAGAGGTCTTTAAATATGGTGGTCCGATTTTAGCGACTAGGTTGACTAATATTCTGGCTAAAATCTGGGAGACGGACGTAATCCCATCTGACTGGTCACAATCACTGATTGTCCTAATATATGAAAAGGGGCCAAAATCATCCTGTGATAACCATAGAGGGATTAGTCTGACTAACATAGCATCTAAAATACTAGCCTCAATAATTATCGGGCGCCTAACTAAGACTCGTGAACTGCAAACACGAGAAAATCAGGCTGGCTTCAGACCTGGTCGTGGCTGTATCGACCACATATTCACTATTCCTCAGGTTTTAGAACACAGGGATGCTTATCGGCGTCCGACAATGATAGTTTTTCTTGACTTGAAAGCAGCATTTGACTCTGTGGACCGAGAGGTTCTGTGGCAGTGTCTGTCATTGAAAGGTGTACCTGAGAAGTACATAAACCTTGTGAAGGCTCTTTACTCGGACACTACCAATGGAGTGAGAGCTTATGGCGAACTGTCGTATGATCTTACAACCTCAAGTGGTGTCCGTCAAGGCTGTCCTCTATCCCCATTTTTGTTTAACTTCATTATATACCTGTTACTGGAAATAACACTCTCGTCGACTGAATTTTCAGGAATTAATCTTCTGCCAGGAGGTTCACTTATCGACTTAGAATACGCAGATGACATAGTCCTGTTTGGTGAAGACGCTGACAAAATGCAGAGTCTTCTGTTAGAACTGAGTAATAATGCCAGGATGTTTGGGATGCGTTTCTCCCCATCTAAATGTAAATTGTTACTCCAGGACTGGCCTGCGTCAACACCTGAACTAAGGATAGGGAGTGAAGTAGTCGAACGCGTGGACAACTTCACTTATCTTGGAAGTCTGATCAGCCCTAATGGGTTGGTTTCTGACGAAATCTCAGCACGGATTCAAAAAGCTCGTTTGGCTTTTGCCAACTTACATCACCTATGGCGAAGACGAGATATCCGTCTATCAATTAAGGGACGAGTATACTGCGCGACAGTTCACTCTGTTCTACTTTACGGCTGCAAAACATGGCCACTAAGAGTAGAAAATACACGTAAATTACTAGTTTTTGACCACAGATGCCTTATAAATATTGCTTGCATCTGCTGGGATCACCGGGTAAGTAATAGTGAGTTACGACGCAGGGTATTAGGGAATGATGGTAAATCAGTTGATGAGGTGATGAATCTTCATCGACTGAGATGGTTGGGCCACGTGTTACGTATGCCTGAACACCGATTACCACGACGCGCAATGTTGACTAGTGTAGGGGATGGTTGGAAGAGAGTTAGGGACAGACAAACCAAAACGTGGCATTAGTGTTTAAAGTCACTAACTTCTAATCTGAGCCATGTTGGCAGATGCAGACTACTTGATTGGGGTCCGTGTGACTATCGTAACCAATGGTTGGAGACTCTGTGTGACATGGCTCAGAATTGATCACAATGGCGTAGGTGTATACACTCTTTATCTTCCTTTAAACCTTGAGATTAAAATTGCTTTATATCTGTCTTTCTTCCTATACTATATCCTTATATACAACCTTTCTTTATATACTACCACCACTAAATTAATTACTTCTATGAATCCGGTGTTCATCTTGTTATGCTAACGAGGTATGGAAACTTGGACCGATGCATATATGTGCCTGGTCCTACATTGTAGCTGACTGACTGACTGACCGATTATCCGCCAACTGCCGGTCTCTAAACAACTATATCTTGGGTTCTCCTTCCCAGTTGTTGTCAAATGCTATTCATTCTTTTGATATCTACCTCCAATTCCTGGTGCAGTGTGATATTTGATCTCATTTCTCGTTCGTCTTGACTATTCCAAGTTAAGCCTTGCTTTTTACTGGAGTTTGATGATCCTCAGAATTATGTCCTACCTACCTCCAGCATCTTTTGGTAATTCCCTCATCAGTTGGAAGCTGAATGCTCTCTCATAATCAAGGAAGTTGATGCTTAGTGATGATTTCGAGTCAATTGATTGTTCAACAATAGTTTATACTCATTTGTATCGGTTGTTTGTATATTCCCATCGATGCTGAGGACTGCAATTGATCAATCTCTTTCAGCATATGTTCCTCTCTGCGGATCACCTTGATACCGCTATTAAGTTACGAACATAATAAGCAGATGTTGCAGAGTGAACAACTCTAGAATGCTGGTACATCCAACCAAGTTGAACGAAACGCACGTCCTAGATTTTACCTCTAGGCACCATCCACCTCTGCTTATAATGATTCGTATTGTGTCGATTTGTTTGGTACATGGTTGATACTCAAGAAAGCTAGCTTGTTGGTCTCTAAGTTGGGCGCATACTGAACATTTCATTCGACTTGGCAGCGTTCTGTTGAAACGTTTGCCTGGTACTGACAGTATTGTGATGCCTCTATAGTTCTCACACTTGATGAGATCTTTCTTATGTATCCCTCTTTCCGGTCTATTGTTACTTGTTCTTCCTCCTAAATCATTCTGAGAACATGGGATATCTTTGCAATTACTTCTATATCTTCAGTGCCTCAGCTGATATGCTGTCTATTTCTGCTACTTCCCCATTCTTGATTTGTCTGATGGTCTTGCTGATTTCTTTTGTTGTAGGTGGTGTATCGTCTGTGCGTGCTGATTGGATGTTTGGTGGGTTCAACAGTACTGTTTTGTTCCATAGCTCTTCAAAGTGTCCTATCCACTTGTTCCATCGCTCTTGAACTTCAATGATGGATTTTCGTTTCTTCTTCCTGACTGGTTACTTTAGTTTAATATATTCTCCTACAAGTTTCTTGATTATGTCATCTAGTTCTTTCATATTTTGTTTCCTTAAAGCTTGTTCTGCGGTCGTTCCCAGGTTTTCTACATATTTCCACTTGTCAGCTGTAGTGCTCTTCACTCGTTTGCTTGGTTCTGTATATTTGACCTGTGCCTGTTTCAGATTGGCTGTTGACTGATATCTTGTTTTCCTTTTCTTGAATCTTGGCCAAACCGTTCTAGAAATCCATTCCTTATGGTGGCGCTTGTTGGGGTCCAGCACCTGTTGTCACATTGAAGTTATTACTTTTTTAATCTATTCCCAACTGTTCTTCATAGCAGATTCCTCTTCTAGTAGGTTTAGAATTACTTGGAACTTGTTGCTGAGATCCATCTTCAACTCTCTGGGCTTGTTAGCATTACGAAGCAACGTTATATTAAACTTCAATGGTACTGCTTATCCAAGTATTCCGTGCTTCCTTATCTTCAGTTTGAGCTCGGTCACCATTGTGTAGTGATCTGAAGCTATATCAACTCCTTTATTAGTTCTTACGTTTTCCATGGATCTGAATTTCTTTATGGAGTTAGATGTGATCGACCTAGCTTTCTATAGTGTAATCTGGTGAAAGCCACGTAACTTTATATATTGATTTGTACGGAAAAGTGCTGCTACCTAAAAAGATGGTGAAAACATATAGACTTGTCAGTCTCTCACTATTCTGGTTTTTCTCTTTCGGTTCATATCGCGTCATAAATCGTTTGCACCCAGTATTGTCCATCCCGACCTTAGCGATTAGGCCCCTCCATCATGATGGTTAGGTCTTTTCCTAGACTGTAGCCTCTCGTAAAACTGGCTCATATAATCCTCTCTGCTATCATTGATGGTTGCGTCTCAATGGGTGACATTGATTGTAACCATTTCCTTTTTGCTTTTAAAGGATCCGTTTCCGTTCCTGTAGCCATAAGTCTCCCATCTTATAAGTGCTTATCGTGCTTCTGTGGATACCATCAGCGTAGCTCTTTGTGCGTTTAAGGGGGTGGGGTGGGTTTTCTGCCTCATGACCAAAATACAATAACAGCTCTCCTGCCCTGGTAGAGACGACAGTTAGAGGAGTCAGCTCTCGCTCTCAAAGTGCTCTCACATGGCCACGCGTATACACCAGTACCAGGGAAGTCCTACTCACTGCCTTCTCGAGACAGGGGTGTTTTTTACGAAGTGGAACGGACGAAAAATGAATATCCGGCTCTTTAACGCGGTTGGTGGATACTGCGCATCCATCTAGGAGAGTTGAAAATCCATATTCATTTTTATTTAAACACAAATATTGGTACAAGGGGGCACCAGATATATATGCGCCACACAAAACACTGAGAATGGGAAGAGAAAAAGGGGTAAGGTGCATATAAGAAAAAAAGAAAGGAATAATAACAACTACAGATTAGTGTATGTTGGTGTAATAATAAGAGTAATAATGGGGAAACAGAAATGTACAACCAGAAGAACTCTTTTAGTTAAGGAAGTTATAACCACTCTTCATGAAGAAAGTGAAAGAAGGTTACAACAGGATCGCCACTGGCTTCTATTCTGAGCCATATCTGATAACGTCTCTAGCCACCATCTCTCGGACCCCAGCCAGGAAGTCGTAAGGGACCAACAGAAGCCAGCTTTTTGCAGCTTTCTTTCATACCACCACATCATGCCATACACTGACCACCTCTCCACTTTTTCCAACCAGTCCCAGAGTCGGTAAATAATGCACGACGAGGAATTCTCTGGGATTCGCTGAGATGCTTTTTTCAGTGTTTTTACACAATGTTACTCCATATTGTATATAAATATTGGAGTGAATGATAGATTTCGTCGAAAAATTACTTTGTGTAGTTTGTATTTATAGTCTTACGTTTGAAAGCTTCTTCAAGGGAAAATCCCTGGGGTTGTAGTGAAAAACTGTGACCAGTGGAGTTCGACCGTGTTAGGCGTAACAAAGGTATTCACCGAAGACATTAGAAGGTGCTCGCGCAATATCGTCGATTGTTTGGAGTTAGATTTGTACGACAGGAGATCTCGGCTCAGTGGTCTAGCGGTAAAGGGTTAGTGCGCAAGAACAAAGGTCCTGGGTTAGATCTCCGGTTGCGGGTTCGTGGTTACGTACTACTAAGATGTCGTGAACGAAACGGCCGTCCATGGTTCTCAAGTTTTTAGTGGTTGTTTGATTTATGTCGGTTCTTATTCTCAACTATATATCCTTATTATTTTCTTATCCTTCGTTGCTAAGTTGTGTTTTCTTTGCTCTTCGATGTTATGTGTTTATGGTAACTGGTATCCTATTAGCATTTTTAGTAATCTGTTGTTTGATTGGAAATATTGCGAAACTCCTTACCGATTGATGTATTTTCAGCCAGGATTGATGAAGGAACCTTCCCAGGCTTTGTTTCACCATTCAGTATATTCTCAGATCGTCCATCAACTTCTGCGTTTGCTAATATTGGACAAATTGAACCTACATATCCTCCCATAGAACAAAATCAACGGGTGAGATCTTCAGCATAAGCTTCTTAATATAGTGAAATTTGATTTGAAGGATTTTTTTAATATTATATATCCATTAATCACGCTGACCATTGTCATTAATAAATGTTTTAAAAATTATTTATTAGGCACAACTTTGTAGCTGTCATTTTGGTTCTGTCGTTTAATAGTATTATTATTATTATTTATACACATAAATATTGGTACAAGGGGATACCAGATACATATGCGCCACACAAATGTCATTTGATTTGTGTAAGAGCTGTGATACTGCCCGGGTGCCCAAACCGAAGCAGGTGGTCTTCTTAGGGGGCCATACCCAGAGCCTTTGGCCTAAAGGTATGACCCACAAGACAGTGGTGCATCGTAAGGAGACAGTCCCATGATAGCCGGTGACCAACTTTAGGTTCATACGCCATTCGTTCTATCAGGATACTGGAGCCCATGTGCACCGCTGATTTGGAATGAGGGTTTTCCAACTCCCCTAGATGAACTTTCTGTGTCCACTAACCCGGTAAAAACGCCGGACATCCGCTTTTCGTCCTCTCAATTTCGTGAACAACACCCCCGCCACGAGAAGACAGTGAGTAGGACTTCTCTGACAGAGGCTGTATACGCGAGGCCATATGAGAGCATTTGTAGAGGGAGAGCGGATTCTCCCCACTCTCGTCCGTACCAGGTCATTTTGGGGGCCGTTTAATAGTAGTAATATCAATACTGTTAATATGAGACAGGTTCATCAGCTGGTCTCTAGATATGTATTTTCTCAGCACTATACGACTATTGCTAGTCATACGTACATTTTAATCTAAGTAACAATCATAAAATATTATTAATTTTACTTACTGTAAAACACTTCAATAAGGTGATTCCATATATACTAAGGTTAATATAACAATGAACCTTGACATTCCGTTTCATCACCGTCCATCTGAAAATTGTGTCATACCATAAAGGGAAAGCAGAGTAGACTTGAAAGAACGGTAGTTGTTCAAATAATTATGTTTCAATATCGTAGTGATCCTGGTCAGGGTCCTATGCTGCACATAGGGTGAGAGGTATAAGAATGAATCTCTTAATGGACTTCATCACAAGAAAACTTTATGATTTTAGAGAGCAGATGTAACCCATGGTTCATACAAGTCCATGTAAATTACATACATTTGATTAGATTACTCAGTAAAATAATATCCTTCGGAATTAAGCTTAAATTTGGCCTTGTTGGTTGCAAGAGTAGAGTCTGCTGTGTATGCGTTTCTTATATGAAAAATAAAGAGCAGAGATCCTTATATTTATTAAAAGCTGCAACTTAGCTACCCCATACACACTCCTGTACCATGCTTCGTGGGAATTCTGTCTTGTTCAAGCCAGTATATCCGATTTGTTACTAACTGAACACTTTATCTGTGAAATCATAACCACTCACTGAAATAGTACTTAGATAATAAGATTTGGTTGAATATTTGGGATTAGCGTAACATTTTCACTCATTTAAACAATGTGACAGAAGATCTTAGTTTATGTAGTCTATGAAACCTACTTACTAACTTATAATTCAGTTAATTGAGCACGTTATTCGAATCTACGGTTGTTTGATCACCAGGTAGTATGGTTCATATTCAAGTACCTGGAGAATGAGTTAAATCAGATTCTAACTTCTATGCCAGGTCATTACTAAAGTAATTAGCTGACAAGGTGAAATGGTATTCTAGCTGATGATAATCACTCAGCTATTTTATACTTCAATAACTTGCAATGATATCCCAGTTGGTGGATTTTTTTTCACTTAATTGTCGTACTGCCGACTGTACAGAGGTGTGACGGCAGTAAGGTGTTCCCTTCAGAAAACCAGCATAACGGCGATGCTGCCTTCCCACAAGGAGCAGTGGGGTTAGAAAAGGTCGACCCTAAAAATGCACACCTTTCCTTATCCCACGGATTTCCGTCTCCGGCGGTAAGGTCCTTTGAAGAAAGGAGCTAACACGTCAAAAAAAAACTCACAAGAAGGCCGTGCGTAACCTGCCTCAAGCAGTTGTCCCTTGGCACTACGGTCACGCTACCAAGTCGTTAAGACCAACACTAATCCAACTTCTTTTTCAGGTCCCTCAAGAAATACCCTTCCACGATGTGGGCAGCCGGGAAGTGATATTAGCCCTCATACCCGTAACTGCACACGAGACCAAGTAGGTCACTTTCAAATCCTTCTTACACCTAATAACTCTCTTATCTCCACGACTAACCCATTTCACGTCCTTTTATAACCTCACACCTCTAGGGCAAAAGATTAGAGTACCCGGAACGTTATTCCTGGTCTCCTGAAACCACGCTCTAAACTACATGTAGGAACTTTTAACGTCCGAACATTGTGCCAACAGGCCTCCTTAGCTAGAACTTAAGAATCTCGCACCATCGATGTGTGCTGCGTCTCAGAAACGCGCATACAAGATCCGAGTAGCGTCATTCATTTGGCCTCACCATATCAAAATAAAGAACCATCTCAATACACGCTTCGTGTATCTGGAAGCCCTGATGCTGCTTCCCGTGGCCTCGCTGGAGTAGGTATAGCATTAAGTCGTAGGACAGAACTAGCTCTTTTAGACTGGACCCCAGTAGACAGTCGTCTATGCGCTGTCCGACTAAACGGATCAGTAAGGACTCGGAAAGATAGGGAAACTCGTCGTTGTCTCTTCATCGTCTCTGCCTACTCTCCCACTGACTGACTTAAAATGAATGGAATCCTAGTAATGAATTTTATTTTTCGACAGCTATTTACATTGTGAAGTACATGAAGTAGGCGTTAAATACTATCTTCTTTAGTTGAAGAATATCAACACTTTGTCAGGTCTATTTTGTTTAAAGGTAACTTTTCCACCATACTGTTGAATCAGTCTGAGTGTAATAATGGTCATTGAAACAAGCTTATCAGTTTCTAAAACGTAAATAAATCATAATTTGTACTGTAGGCATGACACATACACGAAAATACTGAATAGTAGTAATGGAAAAGTGCAACAAAATAACTAATTGAGGTTAACAATCATACATATGATAAGAGTACAAGTTCCACTGATTAGTATTAGTTCATACCCCCGAATGCCCTGGTACGGAAGAGAGTGGGGAGAGTCCGCTCTCCCTCTACAAATGCTCTCACATGGTCACGCCTATATAGCCTCTGTCAGGGAAGTCCTACTCACTGCCTTCTCGTAGCATTACTGTTGTTTACCAAATTGAGAGGACGAGAAGCGAATGTCTGACGCTTTAACTGGGTTGGTGGACACGGAAAGTCCACCTAGGGGAGTTGGAAAACCCTGATTCCAAACCAATGGTGCACATGGGTCCCAGTATCCTGAAGTAACAAATGGCGTATTAATCAATCATTGGTCACCGGCTTTCATTGGACTGCATCTCCTCACGATGCTCCACTGCCTTGTGGATCAGACCTTTAGATCAAAGGCTCCGAGTGTTACCCCCTAAGAAAACTACCTGCTTCAGTCTGGGCACCTGGGCAGTATCACAGCTCTCACACAAATCGAATGAGATTTGTGTGGCGCATATTTATCTGGTGCCCCCTTGTACCAATATTTATGTGTTTAAATAAACAAATAAATTCCATATCACTTTATTTATGGACATGACTAACACGTAGGAGTAAATTCAATATGGTAATCAAACTATTTTGTGCATTAAAATCTTTCACAGTAAGATTAATGCAGGATGATGATGATCATGATAATGATGGTCAACTATAAAATCTCAAACATCATTTTCATTACATTTTTGACTGATCAACTGAACTTTCCAAACAAGATGATATTATCTTCGTGCCTATCCTTTTTAGTAATCGAATGGTTAACGTTCACTTCATCTTAAGTACTAATGCATTACTATTCACTGAGCTATCGAGTTTATATTTTAATTAAACACATAAATATTGGTACAAGGGGGCACCAGATAAATATGCGCCACACAAATCTCATTTGATTTGCGTGAGGGCTATGATACTGCTTCGGTGCCCAAACCGAAGCAGGTGGTCTTCTTAGGGGACTACACCCGGAGCCTTTGACCTAAAGGTATGACCCACAAGGCAGTGGAGCATCGTGAGGAGATGCATTTCCATGGTAGCCGGTGACCAACAACAGATTCATACGCCATTCGTTCTATCAGGATATTGGAGCCCATGTGCACCATTGATTTGGAATGAGGGTTTTCCACCTCGCCTAGATGAATTTTCCGTGTCCACCAACCCGGTTAAAGCACCGGACATTCGCTTTTCGTCCTCTTAATTTGGTAAACAACAGTAACGCTGCGAGAAGGCAGTGAGCAGGAGTTCCCTGACAGAGGCTGTATACGCGAGGCCATATGAGAGCATTTGTAGAGGGAGAGCGGACTCTCCCCACTCTCAGCCGTACCAGAGCATTTGGGGCTTTCAGGACTAAAATTAATCACTATCCATTATGTGTTATGTAAAGTAATTAAATTCTTGTTTACATCAATCTTCTTTTGTCTATTTTTTTTTACATATTTTTAGCAAAGAACTTTAGGAGAAACTCTAGGTATCAATTTGGAAATTTCGTCGTCACCGTTTCATCAAAATCAAGCACTATCGTCTACTTTTCCATTCAATGAATTTAAAGTAATCTCCTCTTTGAATAATTATATATATATCTTGACAGGCAACACATTTACAGATAGATTTTTTTTCCTAATTAGGGTTTACCTAGTAAAATAGAGAAAATCAGTCTCTTAACTACAGTGCCTCGTTTGTTTTAAAATGGTCGATAACATCACAGTTTTGCTTTTCGCATTAGTTTTGTTATGCTATCAACCTATGTATGAACCAATCGTTGGTCACCGGCTACCATGGGACTGCATCTCCTGACGTTCCTTCACTACCTTGTGGATTAGACCTTTAGGTCAAAGGCTCTGGATATGGCCCCCAAGAAAATCACCTGCTTCGGTCTGGACACCCGGGCAGTATCACAGCCCTCACACAAGTCGAATGATTTATGTGGCGCATATATATTTGGTGTCAAATTTTGTTGCGGATGCTACCAAGATATCATTTTTGAACTGTGATCTACTATTCAAACAAATTTATAATGAATATTTGAAAAGTCTACAAAATATTTCTTTATTGATTATTATGTCACAACATCCAAATTAGTAAGAGGGAAGTTAAAATCGTTTGGGAAGTTATATTGCTAAAATCTAAATAACGATATTGTCAGTTGCTGCAAATTTATTGGTTTCTGGATTGACAGAAACATGTGCAGTGACCCTGTCCGGATGAATAATACAATTATAATACCTTGTTCAGACGTCCTTCTCATCGTGTTGTTTTGAAGTGGCATGTGATTTGTTCGGTGTCGCCTGATGGTGATTGTTGATTCGAATCCGGTTCAGGACAGGGCGTTCTGCTTATGAAATTAATTTCATGCTTTCACCAACACGATATCACAATAGGTTACAGTTAATTTTCCAGTGGTTCTGTCAGATGATGACCATACTTATATATCATGTGTAGGTTTTGTAGACACAGCATGAATCAATGGCTGGAGGCTCCAAAGTTGTAGTGTGTACGATTTGACTCAGCAATCAAGTGCTGAAGGCTTCAACAATAAGCTTACATTTTAGTGATGATCTTAAGTGACTCAGGAAATGACTTAAAACAGTTTTTCACCGTTTTTAGCTAGTTAGAAAAAGGCTGGTATAAATAAAGAGTTCACGAAATGAAACTAGGGAAAATACGAAGTACATATTCTTCACTAATGAAACTCCAAACATTTCACTATGTATGTAAATAGTGTTTTGAACTTTCGCACATTGTTTCCGTTTCATTAGTTTGAATCTTTGTTGTATTCTTTTGTCTAACTCGGTCACGAATCCGTAAAATTTTGATGAATGCAAGTCATTAGTATTGATGACATACATGGAAGTTGAAATAAAACCAGAGGAATGTTGATAATCGGAACATAATATTGTATGGGAAAGATGAGGTTGGATCTTGAACAAAATGATCTCGGTCGTTTTTCTAGATATGTTATTAGCAGTCTTCATAAACCCTATAGAACAGCTGCTTGAGGACAATCTCACACAACCTTTTTTGAGCAAGGTAATGTTTGACGTTATTAGGATCGACCCTTTCTAATCCTTCATTCAGTGAAAGGGAAGTATTGTCTCAGGTAGTTCTCACCAATAGGATACTTCTACTTCTATACCTCCACCGTTGACAGTATGACTTCACACTTCAATCTTTGATTTAAAGCTTTTGTCCTACCACTTCCCAACTAACTTACCTAAGATGATATGACCCTGAAAAACAAAGGTTTCAACAAACGTCAGGTCATCAAGATAGGCGATCCTAAACACTGCGTTAAGCCGACAATGACTCCTCAAAATTAGCAATCTTAGTGACTAATTATGATAAAACCTAGAATCGTTTTTTAACTACTCAAATGTTTCCCATTTTAATCATTGTCTATAGGAGTTCCAAGCAAACTTTATGTGTATTTTTACATCGGAGCTTACTGATGCTTGGTGTTTAGATTACTAATGATCGGGTATTTTCCGTTTTTCAGTTATCTCATTATTGGTTTGGCGGTTGAAATAGCATAGCAGTAATACTGCTGTACATGAACAGTTCTTAAATAAAATAAATAAAAATTATGTATTCCACTTACAATCGCCTTCATTATTTGCCCAGTTACTTACTTACTTACGCCTGTTACTCCCAATCGAACATAGGCTGCCGACCAGCATTCTCCAACCCACTCTGTCCTGGGCCTTCCTTTGTAGCTCTCTCCAATTTCTGTTCATTATTTGCCCATCTGGCAAAAATGAATTACCGTATTGTTTCATTCGCATCCACATAATCTGTATATTTTCTTACTTTTTAGTCTCATATACTTCATATTTTTTATCTAATAGATTTGTTGGTTGATTTTGTCTTATTCACTGATTCTGTTCAACTACACTTTAGCAAATTCACTCATAGTTCAAGTTTGAACAATGAACTCGAACAAACAGTCATGCCATTATATATACTTGAAATCATGAGTCAATTGGAGCTAGACCAGCATGGAAAACCTGGAAGCACTGGACGGCCGTTTCGTCCTATTGTGGGACTCCTCAGCAGTGCGCACCCACGATCCCGCCTCGGGAGTATCGAACCCAGGACCTACCAGTCTCGCTCCAGAGCACTTAACCGATAGACCACTCAGCCGGCATGCCATTAGTTTATTCCATGGAAACATCAATTAGAAATCGTTAGAATAAAATATTTTTAATTTTCCTAATGTTAAATTATGAATCTTACACACTTTCAAATGATTTAATAAAGACAATGCGTAGGGATAATGAATGTGTTTTTTTAATGTGGTCGTTATATACTACTTATTTTTCTGTTTTAGTTTCCTGTTGATACTGAAGGACAAGATTTGAACTCAAATATGTAAGTTTGTTTTCCTTATGGAACTTGACTTCAATTTTAGTTTGGAAAACATTTGTCGTCTGTTGCAGTTCTTAAAATACATTAAACGAGGACACTGACGTCGTATAAAAGTTTATTTCTTTAGTTATTTAAACACACAAATATTGGTACAAAAGGGGCATCATACACATATTATTTTATTTTATTTATTTAAACACATAAATATTGGTACAATGAAGCACCAGATAAATATGCGCCTTACAAATCTCATACGATTTGTGTGAGGGCTGTGATACTGCCCACATGCCCAAATTGAAGAAGGTGGTTTTCTTAACGGGCCACACCCGGAGCCTTTGACCTGAATGTCTGATCCACAAGGCAGTGGAGCATCGTGAGGAGATGCAGTCCCATGGTAGCCGGTGACCAACAACAGGTTCATACGCCATTCGTTCTATCAGGATACTGGAGCCCATGTGCACCACTGGTTTAGAATGAGGTTTTCCTAACTCCCCTAGGTGGACTTTCCGTGTCCACCAACCCGGTTAAAGCACCGGACATTCACTTTTCGTCCTCTCACTTTCGTAAACAACACCCCCGCGACTAGAAGGCAGTAAGTAGGACTTCCCTGACAGAGGCTATATTGGCGTGGTCATGTGAAAGCATTTGAAGAGGGATAGGTGACTCTCCCCACTCTCGTCCGTACCAGGGCATTTAGGGTTATTGTTCCTATTTCTTCAAAGTACTTATCCATTGATGATTCACTATACATTCATTGTCGTACATATTGAAAACAATCCTTCAGATTATGCCTTGTAAAATGACACTCTATTTATACGACTTTTTTAGCATTTGTTCATGCGTAAATTCTGATGTGTATGTTGGCAGTAAATGAGTTTGGAATGTGATAAAATCTGTGGAAATTTTTCAATTTTCATCCTTGTTCACACCAACTTCTTGACTACAGACAATAAGATGTTTCAGTTTCTTGTTAGTATAACACTTATTTAGTGCTTTGAAGATGCGAAATAACATATTTATATTCAAAAATGGATAGTGGGTGACAGTGGAATTCAGGACGTGCGTTTCGTTTTATTTTGGGACTCGTCAGCTGGATGTACCTGCATCTCGGAGTTGATGTACACTCTGAGATTAGAATCCAGTACCTTTCGCTTTAAACGCCATCGCGTTAGAGACTGACCAGTTGCAGTCCTAAAAACATCAATGGGAAGATCCAAACAAACAATACTAAGTAAAATAGAGTAATATCTTGTAAGCTTTGGATGAACTATAAAGTTGTACAGAATGGAACCCATCGAAGTATCCACGGGTAGTGAAATTATTCCTCTTCTTGTTTTACGTTTTTCAACTACTTTTCTACATTTCCATATTATATCCAGTGATTCTTTTCGCGAGTTTGTTCAATCATTCAGCTTAAAATCAATTTTTACCCAATAGAAATAACTTTCCGAATACGTGGACCATTTTCTAATGGAATAGTAATACTTTTTGAAAGAGAAGATGTAATAGCAACTCATTAACCCAGTAGAGCTGTGTTTCAGACATGTGAATGTATGATTGTTTGGCTCAATCGAAACTATTATTCGTTGTCATATAGTCATAACCAACTGACACATCTTGAATAGAACAAATACTGAATGGCTTTATTATTATTCCGTGTTTTTTATTCTTCTCATTCATTTATTCCTTATAATTGTGATCGTATTCTTTCTCACCAAAAGTGATGATGATACCGTTTCGACTCTTTCGATACTTATCTTATCAGTTTTGTTTCTATGTAATGATGGGGGGTTGGTTGGTGTGTTGAATTGAGCTAACTCATATTTGTGCCATGTCCTATATTAATAACGATTAATTGTCATAAATATCTAATATATATTTATGTATAATAATAATTATTATTATTCAAACATTAGCTTCAGTTCTGAAGGCAAGGAGTTTCCGGACGACAGTGTAGATCGTGAATTTGTTGTATTTCGTCGACCATCCAATGTATCCTCCAAAGAATGTAAGTAAATTTAAAGCAATTAGTCCCTTTGGTAAATTTCGATAATGTAATAAGAAGACGAAGATTATCAGAATTATGTGATATATTAGCGCAATACATTTCGAACAATCTGATCACACATATACTTGTTAAGAACATTTATATATAAAAATAAAAGGTCAACTAGACGGGTAATAAGGTTAAGAAATAGAAAAGGATAATAATGATAAAATAATGTGAAAAAAACTTGACACCTAATCACTCTGCATAATAAGCTAATATTACTAGGGTAGGTTTAAGGAGAGAACAAACTGTTTTTGAATACACAAAGGGAAGTTGAATTTTCGTATGGCTAAGGCTTCAACAAACCTTAGTATACGCCCTTTTTACACTTTTAAACAACACAACAAAAGCTGAGTTAAGATCAATCTTATGACCTGTTTCGATTATGTGTTTAGCAACAGAGGATGATGGATGTTTATCCTCTACTCTTATTGAGTCCTTCGACTGTATTTGTTTTTGCAACCATTTTGGGTGAACATGTACCAAAATGAATTCACTTAGTATTGTTTGTTTGGATCTTCCCATCAATGTGTTTAGGACTGCAACTGGTCAGTCTCTAATTGGCATATGTGCATACTGTGTGTATTGCCTCGATATACCTTAATTCACAAGCATGGTAAGCAGAGATGGACTCAGTGGCCGAGTGGATAACGCGATGGCGTTTGAAGCGAGGGTACTGGGTTCGAGTCCCAGAGTGAACATCAACTCTGAGATGCAGGTACATCCATATGACGAGTCCCAAATAGGACGAAACACGCGTCAAACTGGATTGCACTCGTAGACACTATCCATCTCTGCTTACCATGCTTGTGAATTAAGGTATATCGAGGCAATACACGCAGTATGCACATATGCCAATTAGAGACTGACCAGTTGCAGTCCTAAACACATTGATGGGAAGATCCAAACAAACAATACTAAGTGAATTCATTTTGGTACATGTTCACCCAAAATGGTTGCAAAAACAAATACAGTCGAAGGACTCAATAAGAGTAGAGGATAAACATCCATCATCCTCTGTTGCTAAACACATAATCGAAACAGGTCATAAGATTGATCTTAACTCAGCTTTTGTTGTGTTGTTTAAAAAGTGTAAAAGGGCGTATACTTTGATGCACTTTCACGATGTTATATATATACTACTGGAGATAGGAAATCGAAACAGTTGTTATATATACTTTGTGCTAACATCCCTGAATGTTATGTCGATAAATTCACCTTCCATTCTACAAGTTTGTGAGCTTTCTGAAGGTTGCGAATATTTCTTACTAATCTGTTTCAATTGACATACATTCAAATTAAGGGATTCATATGAATATGGCCAAACGTCCAATTTAATTAAATTTCCAAACATTCAAAGATACTTTACTTGGAAGTATACCTGTTGAGATGATTTTCAAAATGAATTGAAAACTATCTTTAATATCGAGTTCATAATCTCTTCAGACCCTAATCTTTCACATAATGCTTATACTTTTACTACTTCTACCACTATGGGATTTGAATCGACAAATGCATCTCTGTGCTAATGTGATAATGGCAACTCGAACTGATGTACGCACGTACGAAGTTCTACGTTGTGACTGACTGACTCATAATAGAATCAATACGTTGAAGCTTTATTTTTAGTATTTTAAATTTCAATAATGAAGCGAATCATCTCCCACAACACTTTAAAGATTAAGTGTAGAAGACTTATTATGTAGTAGGCGTTGATCTTCGCTCATTGTGTAAAATATAGGTGGTCGTTACGATTCAATCTCTTATGCTGAAGTAGCCAGTGAGAGGTAGGGGAAGGTTAATCTGTAATTTGTTGTTTAGAACAAAGGTAGCTACGCAGCTAGGGACTCATTCCTAAATAATCATAGATACTACTATCAGTTACAGAATTTTCGGTTATTCATCGCCATGTCACATTTCTGCGTGTTGGGTGTTAGATATCAGAACTGAATTCCAAATGGCCCCCAAATGCCCTGGTACGGACGAGAGTGGGGAGAGTCACCTCTCCCTCTCGAAATGCTCTCATATGGCCAGCGAATATATAGCCTCTGCCAGGGAAGTCCTAGTCACTGCCTTCTCGTGGCGGGGTGTTGTTTACGAAAGTGAGAGGACGAAAAGCGAATGTCCGGCGCTTTAACTGGGTCGGTGGACACGGAGGGTCCACCTAGGGGAGTTGGAAAACCCTGATTCCAAACCAGTGGTGCACATGGGCTCCAGTATCCTGAAGTAACAAATGGCGTACGAATCAACCGTTGATCACCGGCTACCATAGGACTGCATCTCCTCACGATGCTCCACTGCCTTGTGGATCAGACATTCAGGTCAAAGGCTCCGAGTGTGGCCCCCTAAGAAAACCACCTGCTTCAGTCTGGGCACCTGGACAGTATCACAGCCCTGACACAAATCGAATAAGATTTGTGAGGCGCATATTTATCTGGTGCTTCATTGTACCAATATTTATGTATTTATGTTTTTTTTACGTATGAATTCCAAATATGAGTCTTAGAAAGCGGAACTTTGGTTAAGTGTACCGTAGTTAAACTTAATTTGTGTTGCTACACTTTTGTAGGGAACTATGGTAAAGTGTGATGACGAGTCAAGTTTGTGAGATTATGTCAGTAGGTTCATTTAACTGTCATTAAACGAATGATTGGCAATCACCCAGTTAATAATCTTTGAATTCATCAATCATTACGTGTCACTGATTTTGTTCTCCAGCTCAGAGAACAAAACTGCATTAAATTATTGTCTTTATTCAAAATATTTTCATTGAATTATACTCTATAATAGGAATTCAAGGAGATTCTTTTATCACTGTTAAGGTTTAGAGATCACGATAACCAGCAGCTAACAGTGTAGATCATCATGATCATTGTAGTGAACGAGAACATCAGTGGGGATAACCGAATGTATTTGAATATAACATTACAGAATATCTTGATAAGATCCGAAAACCATACAGTAAATATTTCATTTGCAAAATATCCATCGATTGTCTCAGATTTTGTTGTTCCTTCTTTTCAATACCAATCACTTTCTGTTCTTGTCTGTTGGACTTTCTCAACCTTCTGCAGCCTAGCATTCCACAGTCGATTGATGATACATACTAGTCATATCCGTCGACATCAGTAGCACACACCACACCATATGTACTATAGTGTATACTACTTATGCAAACAGAAATAAGTATTAGTAGCATGAATCAGAAGTAGAATGCTTCCCAGCAGAAGAATCAAATAAAGAGAAGAGAAAGGAAAACGATGAGCGATCAGAAGAATGATGAATTATGTAAAGAATAACTAAAGGAAGTTACACAAATGCTGATGGTTTATCATATCTGAGCTTTCGTTCACTGCACTACTACTTCAAATCGATAGTTGAGCTTACTATTCATGATAACGGCCGTTTATTGCTCTTTATTTTTATTCAATGACATAATGGGTTACTTTAACTATCCGGAAGATTTGAACGCTTTTTGAAATTTTTGTCTCATTCATTTTTCTTCCTCTATCTTGATATAAATTGAAATAACGTGAATTGTGTACACCCAAGTCGTGTACACGAACCGACTATTAATTACATTTAACTGGCTAATCAAAATTATTAGTCAATCGAAGCTAGACCACCATCGAAAACCTGGAAGCATTGGACGTCCGTGTCGTCCTATTATGGGACTTCTCAGCAGTGCGCATCCACGATCCCGCACCCACGAGATTCGAACCCAGGACCTACTAGCTTCTCACCGGAACACTTAACCGATGGACCGCTGAGCCGGTATCCAACAGTGTTAATGTCTAACTTCAACCAATCCACGATTTTGAGGAACCGTTCACCAATTGTCTTCAGTGAGTTGATATCTCCACAACAGACTTGGTAGAACTCCACTGGTCACTGCGAGTGTTGGATCGTGGATGCGCACGACTGAGGAGTCCCATAATAGGACGAAACGCCGTCCAATGCTTCCAGGTTTTCGATGATGGTCTAGCTTCAATTGACTCATGATTTCAACTATGAAAATACTAAATTCTTCACAAAACCCCCTCTGATCTATAATCAAAATTACTCTAATTTCAATTTGTACATTATATTTCTACATCTTTTGCTTGTTATATGTGTCTCATCTACTCTGTAATGGTGGTTAAGAAGGAACAAATTCTGATGAGAGACTAAGCGGTAGTGTTTAGTAATAGTCTGAAACCATCGAATTCTTATTTTCAAAAGACAAACTATTGAGAAATTAATGGATTAGTTGATCGAACGTTTAGTATATCATGTGCTAATAATCGTTTATTCTTTCTTTTTTTTTACTTATTTATTGACACTTTCGCTAATGAAATAGCGTTTGTTGACGATTTACCCGATGAATTCTTTGAACATACTGAAGAAGATATACGTAGATTAATGCGTTCATATCGTAATGAATGGTAAGTTGTATAAACCCTTAATGGAACCATATTCAACAATCGCATTATTCTTGTCGCATAATTAAAATTTTTGAAAAAAATCTTAGTTAACAGTTTTGGTTTTGATGTGGGTTAACCTTCCGTATATATTAGGTGAAATGTGAATGGATAGTACTCACGAGGAGGGATTATTTGAATCTTGTACTTAGGAATCGACATTGACACAGATCATTATCATTTGTATATTTTGGTAAATTGGGTTCGCTGATATTTGTTTTTCTGTAATTACTATCGTAACCAATGGTTGGAAACTCTGGGTGACATGGCTCAGAATCGATCACAATGGCGTAGGTGTATGTATTTTTTATCTTCCCTTAATCCTTGAGATCCTTGAGGTATGGCAACTTGGACCGATGCATATATGTGCATGGTCCTACGTTGTAGCTGACTGACTGACTGACTGCGGTCATCATATTGAAGTTGTATGTCTTCCATAACATGGCTATTCTGCTTCACTCATTTTTTTCCTTTTCATTGCAAATATAGCTTAAAATTGAAATTCCTTTCATCAGTCCACTCATTTTTTTCGTTTTGCAGGGCGGAAAATCAACCTCTTCAAACATCGGCTATGCGTTCAGAAGCTCGTCATAAATCTTATTCTAAATATTGTAGAGCTATTATTCAATTTCACTGGGTTGATAATCTTGTCGTTCAAGCATGTTTTCTTCCTAATGAAAAAGGTTTGTTTTTAAAGTCATTTTCTTTCAAAGCTATTTGTGATTATTTACTAATCTCATTTTACTTAATGCAATAAGCCGTCAGTTCAAACTGTCACATTATGATGATGCAACAAAGACTAGGGACAACGTCATATTAACCTAAATGGAATGCTTCTTAAACTGTATTTGCGAAACTCCCCTTTCTCAAGTTTCATGTTTGCCTTCGATTCTGTTAATTGAAATTAATTCATGATTACAATGAGTAGGGACTTCATTTGATAATGTCAGTCAGTCAGTCATTATCAAAGTGGAGCCTAGTACCGACGTGTATTGCTCTAAGTTGCGTGGTCATATCAGCGCGAGGAAATGAAGTTGGTAAGATATATGATATAGTAAATGAGTAATGTAGCAACAATAACAATTGAAAGGACTAAGCATTAGAAATGGTGTTTGAAAAGGTAGAGTAGAAAGATCGGTGTGAAGAAATAGTCAAATTTAAGATTGAGATTACGAGAAAGAATGAATGCATCTGAGCCATCATAAACAATTCTAAGCCATTTTACTTAAAGTCTCCAACCATTGTTCGCATTTATTAGGTGAACCCCATCTAGCTAGGCTGCATCTACCAACATGGCTTAAACCAACAGTCAGTGATTTCATGGGTTGGAGCTATTATCTTGGTTTGTTCGCCCCTGACTTCCTTCTAACCTCCTTATATGCCAGAAAATACCACATATTGAGGTATGTAGGGATCACAAAATCACCTAAAACCGGCGAACGGAACTAAAGTCAATAAAACAGTACAAGCTAGCTATTTCACTGCACCCCAGCCCTGCTAACTAGAGGGAGATCAGATTCAGCCGAGGGAAGTGTATATTTCACAAACAGCCCGAAAACACGAACGAAGAAACACACAAATCATGCGTATATATACCTTACAAAAATATCCTTGGAAATCGTCACAAAGTAGCGTACCAAAAGAGGGAACGAACCAATGACATTTAAGGTACTTCCGAGTGGGAAATACAAAGGAGGCGCTTTTGGCGTGAAAACAAGGAATTCAAATTTCCAAAATAAAATTACGAAAATAGGACGTTTATCAAGTAATTTCTGGGGACCTAGCATCCCCAACATAGGCGGTAACTGGGTGTACCCACCATGTATCCTGCTCAGCTCAGTCGATGAAGATTCATAACCTTATCAACCAGTCTGTCGCTTTTGCAAAGTATTTTTACACCTAACCTCAACGCTACACAAAATGACGATATCTGATTGTAACTCATTGAAAACTGCTCTCGAATATTTGATAAAGAGTAAGAATGGAGGTTTATGCTGAATAACAAACTCACTATACCTGTTTACTCAAATCTTTGTTTTTTGTTCTCTTCAAGTTAGTAAACGAACTAAGTATACGAAATTTCTCAGGAAAACATGCCTTTCTGCGTTTAAATCCGCTGATTTGTTGATGAATTTCACGTATCAACTGTTACTTGACATTTCTTGACAAAACGTTTTGTCCAGTCTCAAGTATTGTATTGTGAGTTCAAGGGATTATGAATAACGATTAGAGTAATTGAATGACGATGAATATACTACATAAAAGGCTTAGAACTTTAGATATCTGATTTAATCAGCTGATATCAGTCAGTAAATTATCATCAGCATAGAGCTTAGCATCACAGATGTGTCCTGACCCAAGTCGCAGCATCCCATTAGTCTTATTTTGATTTACTCCGATACTACACAATGTCTTACAAGTAAAAACTATCTATATTCAACAAACATCAACTAATTTATTTAATAAAGGTTCACAGGATCTTCAGCTTTCTAACCATCTCTCTACCCACTCCAAACTTTGACAATGCTCACTTAAATATGGATTATCATATGGTTAATAAGTAACAAACAAAAGTGTTAGGATGGCTAGTTGGTAAACTCTAGGAAGCCTCAAGAAGGCCAGAAAGAGCCGAAGGCATTCCATCCAATCACTGCCAGGGGAATATTCTAGAATGTTGACGTGTAGCTTCCCCATTGGATGGATACGAATGACCCCTTATGTGCTTATTGGTTACCCGAAATGATGATTTACTCTGAGCCAAAAACTATAAATACATAAGATTTCTGTACTATATTTTGACACTGTTTTGGGAAATAAAAGTCCCTACTTACTAATCTTCTCTTTTCTCTCTTGTGACGTTGCGGGTTCGATTGTTCAAGTAGTTTAGTAGTACGTGGCATAGTAAGAATCAAAGCTCTAGATATAACAAAAAGGTAATATTCATTTAAGAATAGTCTTTATTTTACTATCTCCCTAAATAATTTATGACGTTATCTATTTGAAATTTCATTTTCTTACCAGAAAGGTTTGGATAACAATTAAATTCATAGTATAGCAGTAACTGGTTTATTCCTATCAATTTAAGATTTTTCATTAGTGCATACAACGTTACAAAGAATCAAATCTAAGAACCATAGTTCTCACTAGAAACCGGATACAATTCAATCAATGAGTCAATATTCAATGAACCATAGTCATTAAATTCATTCAATACATTGTAGACAACAAACAGTAATCATAAAATATTGTTTATGAACATCTATTTTCCATCTTAACTTGTTTGATCAAAGGGAACATGACTTCAAAGTAGAACTTAATCCCCCCCCCAAACTCTATAATATGATATCGGTCGGTTATTTTTATCCGTATCCAAGTAAGTTATTGATACACCAAGTAGACATTTAGTTCTTCATTGTCTAAAAGTGTAAGAATGATAAAATCGTTCTGACTATTATCGATCTATAGTTTCATACTTTGTATCTTTACTGTTTAATTGTTGTTTAAACAATTTGATTTCATCATTAACCATTCTATTGTAGATTAGTTAGTCTATTGTAATAATCAATGTATTTATACTTATCTTTTATAGTGTCGGCATTATATAAATTTATTCATGATCTACAAAATTCTACTTATGACTTTAAACTATGTAAGTTGTTGATTACATAATCCTTTTATATTTCGGTTATTACTAATGACTTCTGTACTTTTAAATCATTTAAACATAACTATAGTATAGATTATTTTGAAGGTGAGTTGTTGTATTGTTGTAGTGAACAAGAACATTAGTTGGGACAATTAAATGTATTCAAGCACAAATTACAGACTAACTAAATTCTGATAATAATTATCAGATGGGGTTTTGTGGAGATTTCAGTATTTTCATAGTTGAAAGCGTGAGTCAATTGAAGCTAGACCACCATTGAAAACCTGGAAGCACTGGACGGCCGTTTCGTCCTATTGTGCGACACCTCAGCAGTGCGCATCCACGATCCCGCACTCGCGAGATTCAAACCCTAGACCTACCAGTCTCGAGCCAGAGCCCTTAACCGATAGACCGCTGAGCCGGCATCCAACGGTGTTAATGTATAACTTCAACCGATCCACGAAGATGAGCAACCGTTCACCAGTTGTCTTCAGAGAGTTCCTATCTCACAACTGGTAGTTCCTGGGTGCGTATCTTGCGAGTGCGGGATCGTGGATGCGCATTGCTTAAGAGTCTAGTGCTTCCAGGTTTTCCCTGGTGATCTACCTTCAATCGACTCAGGCTTTCAACTATAAGTTCTGATAACCATACAGGAAACAGTTAATTTGCAAAATAACAATCAATTGTCTCAATCTTAACTGTTTCTTCTGTAAATATCAGTCCGTCTTCTCTAAATATATTCCTCATGCATTTTTGTACAGATTGAGGTTCGTTCCTTATCGACCTTCTTCCAAAATACATTATATGTCTGACCATCACTATATACTACTTATGTGGATATAAGTAGACCACACTACACTTTGCAGTACTGAATAAATGATTTACTTACTCATTCAATTATTATCTTCAGTAACAATTGTATACACTGCACATAGATACAAAATAAATAATAACTGTATAGGAATGATAAAATAAGGCTAAAAAACCAACCAGTAACCCATATGTTATAGCTTCTTCCAGGGAAGTCCTTCTCATGGCATTATTGTTGTTTACCAAATTGAGAGGACGAAAAGCGAATGTATGATGCTTTAACCGAGTTGGTGGACACGGAAAGTCCACCTATGGGAGTTGGAAAACCGTGATTCCAAACCAATGATGCACATGGGCTCCAGTATCCTGAGGGAACAAATGGTGTATTAATCAATCATTGGTCACCGGCTATCATGGGACTGCATCTCCCTACGATGCTCCACTGCCTTGTGGATCAGATTTTTAGGTCAAAGGTTCCGGGTGTAGCTCCTTAAAAAAACCACCTGCTTTAGTCTGGGCACCCAGGCAGTATCACAGCCCACACACAAATCAAATGAGATTTGTGTGGTGCATGTATATCTGGTGCTTCCTTGTACCAATATTTATGTGTTCGCATAAATTTATCTAAACACATATATATTGGTACAAAATGGCACCAGATACATATACACCACACAAAATAATGGAAGTAGGAAGAGAAGGGATGAAAAGATAAGGCGAACTGAAATGTACAACCAGAAGACTCTTTCAGTTAAGAAAGTTAGAACCTCTCTTTATGAAGAAAGTAAAAGAAGGTTACAACAGGATCGCCACTGGCTTCTATTCTGAGCCATATCTGATAACGTCTCTAGCCACTGTGTTGCACCATTTCTCGGACCCCAGCCAGGGAGTCGTGAAGGACTAACAGAAGCCAGTCCTGTACAGCTTTTTCTCATGCCACGACACCATGTCATACACTGACCTCCTCTCCGCTTTTTCCAACCAGTCCCAGCGTCGGAAAATGATGTACGACGTGGAATTCTCTGGGATGACATTCGTAGAACGTGTCCAAGCCACCGAAGTCGATGTTTCAAGATAAATGACACCAAGTGATATATTTCCCTCCACCCGAACACACCATACCGAACCTCTGCATTACTAACATGGTGTTGCCACTGTATGTCAGCAATCCTTCGGAGACAACGATGATCGAACACAGAGAGTCGTCTAACATCCTCAACTCGGAGAGGCCAGGTTTCACAAGCATAGAGCAAAACTGCTCTCACCGACGCGTTGTAGATCCGACCTTTTACAGCCCGACTAACATCACGAAGGCGCCAAAGATGGCCCAGATTGGCATAAGCCGCTCTGGCTTTCATTATACGTGCATCAATCTCATCACTCACACCACCACCAGCACTTATATAGCTACCTAGATTCACGAACTTCTCAACTACTTCAATCTGCTCACTATCTAGGGTGAGTACAGGATGAGAATCGTGCCAGTCTTGTAGGAGTACTTTGCACTTGGAGGGTGCAAAGCACATGCCGTACCTGCGGACACTGATTGCCAACTGATTAAGTGCTGATTGCATGGTTTGGGCATTATCGCACAGTAAGACAATATCATCCGCATACTCGTGGTCGAGAAGTCGTTCTCCAGGCAACATGTCCACACCGCCATTACTTACATCCATCAGAGCTGTTACCAGGATGTCATCGCATAAATAAATAAATAAATGAGACCATCACACCGATAATAGTGTTTTCTGTTGAAGATAGATCATTCAAAAGTTTACCCAAGGTTATATCCCACAGTAAGTTGGGAAAAGAACATATAATTTACTTAATCACTCTTATTTCAATACTAGTACGTATGAGGTTGAAATGACGAATCGATGTAAGTTGTACAAACATTGAGAACGTGAAATCGCTGAACTTCCGTTTCGTCCTAGTATGGGACTTATGGATTGAGTGAATTTAGATTCGTTCACCATTAGATCCTGGCTCAGTGGTTTGGTTGTTTAAGTGTTCGCCCGCGAAATTGAAGGTCCTGCGCATGGTTCCCGGTTGTGGGATTGCTGATGGGCTTTCCTGAAGAGTCCCATATTATGACGAGACAGCTGTTCAATGCTTCCAGTTTTTCAATAGTCATGTAACTTAGATCGGTTCGTGATTTCAATAAAACTGTCATTAGTTTAACAGCCTATAAATTAACCAAAATATTAAATTAGAATATAATCTTCGTTGATTAATGACAGTAGACTGGACGTATAAAGTAGTAGCGAGTATGTCAATAAGACTTTTCAGCTTTACAATTATAACAATCTTAGTGTGACTACACTTTTCCAATGTGTCCTCACTGACTTTTTCCTTGTCACAGGTAACTTTTTAAAAAATGACATGGTAACAAAAGTTATTTGATCAATTGTTGCATTTCCGTTGTGTACTGCAGTTTGGTGTTGCCAAAATAACTTATATAATCGGAATCTTATGGTGGATTGGGAAACTGTTGTTTACATTAACCTTATTTCAAACACATAACCACATTTAGATTGACTGCATTCTATGATGCAAACATTAAACATCAGTTAACTATTTAGTAAAGAAAAAAAAGATACAATGAACTACAGTCCTATTCAAATTTTGATTAATGGGCTATTAAGAGATAGAAGACACTTGACAGATCTATATTCACTGTACAATTTGAATGAAGTAACTTGTTTTTGTCTAACTAAAGTTTTATCAGTCTGGAAACTTCATATTCATTCATAGTCATGTATGTTCAAACTAAAGATCATTCATTTTGAAAAATGGCTTATGTTCATGCATAAAACTATATGTATCTTTGGAAGTATTTTATATTGGTCATCATTCGTAATCCGAAACTGTCATATCAGTCATATGATCTCAACTCTAAAAAAACTAGTTATGAGTCAATTGAAGCTAGACCACCGTGGAAAACCTGGAAGCATTGGATGGCCGTTTCTTCTTATCGTGGGACTCCTCAGCAGTGCACACCCACGATCCCGCCTCGCGAGATTCGAACCAAGGACCTACCAGTCTCGCGCCAGAGCACTTAACCGATAGACTCACTGATAACATTGGTGAATGGTTGTTCAATATCGTGGATTGGTTGAAGTTAGACATTAACACCGTTGGATGCCGCCTCAGTGGTCTAGTGGTTAAGTACTCTGGCGCGAGACTGGTAGGCCCTTGGTTCCAATCTCGCGAGGCTAGATAGTGGATGCGCACTGCTCAGGAGTCCCACAGTAGAACGAAACGGCCGTCCGGTGCTTCCAGGTTTTCCCTAGTCATGATCTCAACTCTATAAAATTACTAAAATCTCCACAAAAACCCCTTCTGATATAACTAGTTTACAGAATTAGTCACTGTTGATAAATAACGTGTAAAAAATTTAAGTACTAAGTATTCCAATAATTCTCATCATTTAATAAGTTCTAGGTACCTAATACCTGGTATCCATAGTCTATACACAATCAGTATGTTCTGTTTTGTTTTTCTATATAATATCGATTGAATAGTGTTCCATTTTACATACATAATTGATCATTCATTGTTATCCATTGCTTTTTGACAGATACTACTCCGCCTAAATTGTTTCTGTCCGATAACAACATCACATTAATTGAAGTGAGTGTGAAAATTTTCTTCTGTTTTACATTTTTTTATTTGTTCAAAGGGGTGTTTTTTCAAAAAAAAGATATTTTAAGGAATACTTATGGTACGGTAATGACTTTATAAAAAATAGAGACCGTATTCCAATTCATTATGATTTTATGTCCGTCTTTTTATCACGTAATTTATCCATCAATCGAAATGCGACTTTTCTAATCTCAATACTGTGCCAAATCAATGACGTTCAACTGGTATGAGTAGTCTAGCGTCCTTATTGGTCTCTTATCCGCCTAGCCCTTTCAATTGTGTCCAGAAAACCAATTGCAGCTTCTGCTATGTGAATCATTTATTTCAAGCATACTCTGTTTACATACCAGACAGATAAACGGCGAGACTAAACTATACTGACGAGCCAATGAGAAGCTTTCGCGGGTTTCCAAGGTCACGGCGCTAAGTTCGGTACTTGATGCTTACGTACGATCGGTTTACAGAGGATTTTAGGGAAGACGTGATAATTCAGCGTCTACAAGAGAAGTGATCATAAGATTTTGGCGCGAAATTCAATTATCCATTCGTATAAATAGAGTTTTGGCATTATAGCTGATACCAATTCGTGATGAAAGCCCTAACTATAATTCCTAGCTTTAACCATGAACTGTAAATCATAATTTGAATTCTTCAAACTGGTTTATAACCCTCATTTGGTCTTAGTTATTATGTTGACACTCTCAGGGTCACTCTTGCGTCGCTCAAAGGTCGTCTATGAATTATAGTCTCACCCTTAACCCTAAACCCTAATCCTAAACCTTAACTCTAACCCTAAACCGTAAACCATACCAATATACCAACGACATTGAAGCTATGTGGTCGAGGTAAAAGAATTTTCGAGACCTTATCATGGTTTCAGAGGTCGACTACTATGGAGCCATATGGATGTGTTCCTGTACCGTATGCACTATGATTTTAGAACTTCTGAACCTATATTTGACCTTGAGAAGTTTTTGAGTCATGTAAAAAAACAGTATCCCGTTTAATTTTTGAGTTTTGTATAATATATTTTTACTGTATACTGATTGTCTTCTGATTGGTTAATATTTCTCAAGGTCATTTTAGATTCGTTCAAAGGTCGTCAGTATAGTTTAGTTTCGCCAGAATTTCTTATCAATGTTTAGATTCCATGACACAAACCTGCGTGACCTGTATCTATGATGAGTTCTGAGTAATTGAATTCAATCTTCTACACAGAGTATATTGAATTCCTTGTAGCATGATCTAAAGTAGTTCTCTCTCTCTCTTTTCCTCTGTTTATTAGTTGATAAACAAAAAAGGAGATTTACTAAGATCTAATTAGTTATTTCATCTTGAAATGTTAGATATACCACCAAGTTTGTGTTTCACATAAAGAGTCTATTTGAATTGACTTAACTAATAAATTGTATTTTCTATAAAATAACTTAGTTTTGGCCCCCAAATTCCCCAGTACGGCCGACAGTGGAGAGGGCCCGCCTTCTCTGTGGAAATGCTCTCACACGGTCCCGCGTATACCACCTCTACCAGGTAATCCTACTCACTGCCTTCTCGTGGCATTACTGTTGTTTAGGAAATTGAGTGGACGAAAAGCGAATGTCCGTCGCTTTAACCGGGTTGGTAGACACGGAAGGTCTACTTAGGGAAGTTGGAAAACCCTGATTCCAAACCAACGGTGTACATAGGCATCAGGATCCCAAATGAACAAATGGCGTATTAATCAACCGTTGGTCACCGGCTACCGTGTGACTCCATCTCCTTACGATGCTTCACTGTCTTGTGGGTCAGACATTTATGTCAAAGGCTCCGGGTGTAGCCTCCTAAGAAAACCACCTGCTTCGGGTCTGGGCACCCGGGCAGTACTATAGCCCTCACACATTTAAATGAAATGACAATTTTTTGTGTGGTGCATATATATCTGATGCCTCCTCATACCAATATTTATGTTTTCAAATAAAATAATAATAAAACCTAGTTTTGTAATTTATTCTTATGTATTTTTTTATTTTCATGTATCTCATTTATTGTTTCCTAGGCTGATTTAGTACCTTTATCCAAAGTGTTTTATCATCCTACTGATATACCAGCTGAAAATGGTAAGTAGTATAAATCATTTACTCTTTTAACTTAAGACCTGTCAACAAATTTTTATTTGGCCTATTTAATAAATAGTCCTAGGCAGTCATTAACAGTGTACGTATGTGTATATAAACGAACGAAGTGGTTTTTATTCAACGATTATTTTTCTTGGTTGACAGTTTTTTGTGTTTTCCACTAAAAACCACATTTATCAATATTATTATTTTTATGTAAGTTATAGAACTCTATAATCTTCGTAAGCAAATATGGATAGTGGCTAGCAGTGGAATCCAAGACGTGCGTTTCGTCTTATTTGGGACTCGTCAGCTGGATGTACCTGCATCTCAGAGTTGATGTTCACTTCACCCTATTGCACAAGCAAATGGCTATCAGGACTCAGTGACCGAGTGGATAACGCGATGGCGTTTGAAGCGAAAGGTACTGGGTTCGAGTCTCAGAGTGAACATCAACTCTGAGATGCAGGTACATCCAGCTGACGAGTCCCAAATAGGACGAAACGCGCCTTGTCCTGGATTCCACTGCTAGCCACTATCCATCTTTGCTTACAATGTCTAATATCGTTTGCTTTTTTTTCAGCTTACTACCTGTCAACAAATTTTTATTTGGCCTATTTAATAAATAGTCCTAGGCAGTCATTGACAGTGTACGTGTGTGTATATAAAGGAATACAGGTTTAGTAGAGTTAAAATGTGGTTAATAGTAAAATCGAAGATATACGTTTCGCTCTATTTGGGACTTAGTGTGAACTTCAACATTGAGATACTGGTACACCTTACTGATTAATCCCGAAGAAGACGAAATATATGTTGTGGATTTTATTACTAATCACAATTTAACTTTACTAGAGCTTGTCATTCGATGATTATATGGAGACAATCTGCTTAGGATACAGATATGTTAACAAAATCTGATAAGAACAACAGAAAATTCCAATTCCTTTCTAATACCTAGACACTCGAATAAGTTATTGTCTATCTGGACTAAGTAGCTCAGTGAATAACACTTTAGTGCTTGAAGCTGAAGGTACTGGATCCAGTTGTCGTCATAAACATTATTTTGAATTTAGGTACATTCAAAATAGGACAAAATGAGTGTCATAGATTACACCGCTAGTCACTATCCAAATGAATTAAAGAAATCTATTTATGGTCTGATAATATACATTAATACCAGATCTGACATTTGTTTGCCTATCTAGATGGTATAATGAAGCACTTCGACTAAACTTTGACGACTTCTCGGCAGTCCACACAACTATACTGGGAGTCAAACCTTCGTATTTCGAAGCGAAAGCGTTAACTTGAGGTTGTGAAGTCAAAACTCAATGATTTGAATTTCTAATTTTAGTAAATTTATAATGTAGCTTGATTATCATCCAATGTCACTGTTGCCCTCTCAATATTGTTGAACTCCACCAGTAATGACCTTCTGGAAATCAAGAAGTTCATCTTAATGTCTGACTTGATGGTCTTCAATTGAAATTCAACAATGAACATACGACAAGTAGCCAGTAGTTGAGGATTTCCTCTGCTTCTGGGTCACTTTCTTAAACATGGATTTCTTCATGTTTCCAACATGTTTATTGTTTAGTAGGTCATAAGGAAATCAAATCGAATATTTGTAAACTGCCATTTCTTTGGTTTCCAAGTTGCCTTAGGTAGCGGGTGTTCATTCTATTATGATCGTGTAATCGTTGTAAAATGGTAAGGTTGTGTGACCATCGTCGACAATTTCACTCTCCTCATTCTTAAACTTATAACTCTATATATTGCGAGTAGTCATTAACTAACTGCTAGTTTACATCAATTGCATTTCATTCAGCTTTGATTATTGCATCATCGATAGGGTCGCCTTATTTCGCCTTATTCAATAAAGTCAAATGATTAAACAGTGATATTGTCTTTTTGGTTTCATTTTCTAGTTCTAAGATCAGATGTATTAGATAAAGCCAATGAAGAAAATAGTATTAAAGCTCAGTCAATTGTTTCTTACTGGTATGTTGTTTGTCTAATTTAATTTATTTAAACACAAATATTGGTACAAAGGGGCGCCACACAAATCTCATTTGATTTGTGTAAGGGCTGTGATACTGCTCAGGTGCCCAAACCGAAGCAGGTGGTTTTCTTAAGGGGCTACACTCGGAGCCTTTGATCTAAAGGTCTGATCCACAAGGCAGTGGAGCATCGTGAGGAGATGCAGTCCAATGAAAGCCGGTGACCAATGATGTAAATTGTTCAGTGATTGGTTGATCCTGTTTGAAGTCTCATTGATTATACTATTTTAAGATTTCAAATGTTGAAAATTATTTACTTTTAGAGGTAGTAATAAATGGTTTTGACTGAATATTTACATATGCTGCCTACCATATTTATTATAGTTTCAGAAATCTCTGAAGTCAGTCAGTCAGTCAGTCACAACGTAGAACTTCGTACGTAGGTACATCAGTTCGAGTTGCCATACCACATTTGCACAGAGATGAAGTTGTTGATTCAAATCCCATAGTGGTAGAAGTAGTAAGAGTATATGCATTAATGTGAAAGATTAGGGTTTGATGATGTTATTGAAGGAGTATAATCCAGTGAAATAAATTTGAAAAGAGAAAAAAAGGATAGGGACATGAAGAATTCAGAAGATTGGAATTTAGTAGAACACAAAGAGTGGATGCAGCTTCGCCATTACAAACGATTTTGAGCCATGTCATTCAAGGTTTCTAACCATCAGTTGCTATCATCTCGCGAATCCCAACCAGGTAGTCTACACCTACCAACACGGCCCAGTTCACTTGTCAGTAACTTCATGGATTTGTGCCACGTTTTTGTCTGACCGCCCCTAACTTTCTTCCAACCTACTCCTACACCATAAACATTGCACGTCGGGGCAGTCGGTGGTCGGGCATACGTAACACATGTCCCAGCCATCTCAACTAATGAAGTTTCACTACTTCATCAATCGATTTGCCATCCTTACCTAGTACCCGTTTCTTAACAACTGCATTACTAACCAAGTGGTCCCAGGATATATGAGCAATGCTTCGAAGACACCTATGATCGAATACTAGTAGCCTACGAATATCCTCTACTCATACTGGCCATGTTTCACTGCCATAAAGTAGGACGGAACGAATTGCTTCACAGTAAACCCGTAAACGGATATCCCGCCTACTCCATAAATGACGCAAGTTGGCGAAAGCTAGACGAGCCTTCTATATCCGTGCTGAGATTTCGTCACACCAAACCACAAGGGCTGATGAGACTACCAAGATAAGTGAAGCTGTCATCACGCTCAACTACTTCGCTCCCTATCATTAGTTCAGGTGTCGATGCAACTCAATCCTGAAGTAACATTTTGCACTTCGAGGGGGAGAATCTCATCTCGAACATGCCTGCATATTTGTTTATAGTTGTCAGAAGACTCTGCATGTTGACAGCGTCTTCACCAAATAAAATTTTGTCGTCGGCGTATTCGAAGTCAACAATTGAGCGTCCCGGTAAAAGTTCAACTCCTGGAGATTAAGATGATGAAAGTGTTATCTCCAAAAGCATGTCAATGACAAAGTTAAACAAGAATGGGGAGAGTGGACAGCCCTGACGTACACCACTTGAGGTAACCAATTCTGATGACAATTCGCCATAGGCTCTAACTCGACCAGTTGTGTTCGAGTAGAGAGCTTTTATGAGGTTAATGTACTTCTTTGGTATTCCTTTCAGTGAAAAACACTGCCATAGAACCTCACGATCAACGGAGTCTAATGCCGCCTTAAGGTCAAGAAATACTACTATTGTGGGACGTCTGAATGTATGCCTATGTCCTAGGACCTGATGTAGAGTGAATATCTGGTCTATGCAACCACGTCCAGGTCGGAAACCAGCCTGGTTTTCTCTAGTCTGCTCTTCACGAGCTTTGGTTAGGCGTATTAGTATTATTGAAGCTAATCTTTTAGACACTAAATTAGTCAAACTAATCCCTCTGTGATTGTCACAGGAGGACTTTTGTCCTTTCTTATAGACTGGCACAATCAGTGATTGGGACCAGTCAGATGGAATTACGTCCAGTTCCCAGATTCTACCTAAGACCTCAGTCAATCTCACTGCTAGTACTGGACCACCATCCTTAAAACTCTCAGGAGTAAACCTGTCAGGGCCTGCTGCTCTCCCTCGCTTCAGATTTCCTATAGCTTTTTCAACCTCGTCGAGAGTTAGAGGACTTACCTTAATTTGCCATTCAGGACGACTGGGGATCGTTGGTAACTGAAGTGTAGCTAAAGGCCAGTTGAACTGATCCCTAAAGTGTTCTGCCCATCGATCCAATCTCCTGGATTGAGAATGAATGATATGCCCATCTTTATCTGAGATGGTTTCACTGATACTTGGGTTCCTAATATCGGTTTCTTTAACGAGCCGGAATAGCTGTCTACTGTTACCTATTGCCGCTGCCTTTTTCCATCTCTCTTGCTATCGCTACCCACCACTGTTCACGATCATTACGTAGGCTTCTTATTAGCCTGTGTTTAAGCTGACTCCGCTCTTCGTTATGTTCAGAGCCAGGAGGGATGAGTTTTCGAGCATCTATCAGTGCGGTAGATGCTGCTGAGATCCATTGTTTCTCCCTAACCTTATGGTTTACCTTACTAGCGGATATCACAGCTGTTTCCACAGCTTTTCGGATGTCATTAGAAATCTCCGAAAGCCCAAGACTATAAATAACCTCTTTTTTCTATACATAAACTAACCTTGGAATTAAGCTTTTATTCACGATTAGCACTTTCTCTTTCGTGTTTCAGTTGACGTATAGAAGTATTTACGGATAATGAGACCACCTAGGAGGAAAGTTTAAGCCTTTCTGTAACAAGACTCATCAATCTGAATATAGGTTCGTCGTTAAATATATATTCATCTAGTCTCGACTGGGTATCCAAACAACCCTCTGTGTGTTTGTCTTGACTACCGACCTGGACATACAAGTCCCTTGCTAGCTTCACAATCTGTCTAACGCGCTTTGTTGAGATCATTTTGTTAATAACAGAAATGATTTTTTTGATGGGTCCGAGCTGCAATTCGTCGGAACACGGTTGAGGATTTCAATAATACTCGCATTATATGGATTGATTATACTATTTTAACAGTAAACTACATTTTTCCATTAAGCATATGAGTATGGAGAGCTTAAGAATTTCTGCTCAGTTGTTAGGTATAGATAGATTCAGTGTATAACCTATTAATTTACACTCCAAACATTTCTGGTTCATTTTTATGTAAATAGGATGACAAATTTACCATCCCACAACTTAACTCAAGACAGTTCGTCTCAAATGGATATTGACGCTCAGAAAAACTTAAGACGCATTGATAGACCTGCTTCTAATTCATGCAGTGTGCCAAAGTGGTTGAAATTAAGTAAGTTCTTCACGTTTGCAACTGATATTTACTGTTTTTAATTGTGTCATTAAAGTTTTATTCTGTCGAAAATCCCACTTGTTAAATTCCAAGTATATGTCAAAGAACTGTCGGTAGTTAGGTAGGTAGGTAGGTAGGTCGGTGAGTTGATCTCCTGGTGTTTCCAGTGTTTTATGCTCAATGTTCTTGGTCAGACTGTTGGACTTTATATTATTATTATATACTCTCTTGAACGAAGTTCGGATTATTTATAACATGAACATCGCGTTATTTCAAGTTTATATCTGTTATCAAATCTTACAAAAGTTTTAAATGCAATCTCGAACTACCTGATACTCTGCCGGATTTCCCCGGTTAAATGCTGTCACTCTTCCTTTCAGAGATATTAAACTTAAACTATTGACAGTTTTCAAATTGTTTCCCTTTATGACTGTGTAAGTAGGTAGAGAGAAAATTGAATTAATGTTATAGCTACCATGTCTTTGAACAGCTTTTGTTTTAAATCAAAACGTTTTGTTTCTTTATCTATTTATTTATTTATTTGAACACATAAATATTGGTACAAAGGGGCGCCGAATACATATGCGCCACACAAATCTCACTTGATTTGTGTGAAAGCTATGATACTGCCCGGGTGCCCAAACTGAAGCAGGTGGTTTTCTTAAGGGGCCACACTTAGAGCCTTTAACCTAAAGGTCTGACCTACAAGGCAGTGGAGCATCGTGAGGAGATGCAGTCCCATGGTAGCTGGTGACTAACGATAGGTTCATGCGCCATTTGTTCCCTCAGGATACTGAAGCCCATGTGCACCATTGGTTTGGAATCACGGTTTTCCAACTCCCCTAGGTAGACTTTCCGTGTCCACCAACCCGGTTAAAGCACCGGACATTCACTTTTCGTCCTCTGAATTTCGTAAACAACAGTAATGCCACGAGAAGGCAATGAGTATGACTTCCCTGACAGAGGCTATATAGGCGTGGTCATGTGAGAGCATTTGGAGAGGGAGAGCTGACTCTCCCCACTCTCAGTCATACCAGGGCATTTGGGGGCGTTTTGTTTCTTTACTAAAAAAATGTGTAAATTTAGTCTTTTAAAAATTTCTCATTCCCATCATTTTCTGTCTTTTTTTATTAGAAAAATGAAATCAAAAAACCGCTTTATTCTACACAAAGTACAAATGTTTCATCGGACGTTCACTTACTCTTTTTTGAATGGGTTAGTGAAAATAGTAATGACATTATAAGAAATTCCAGTGTTTTGCATTGTATTTTGCAAATTCTGTTCGTTTCTGTTTTTTGAAGATGTTTACCCTGTACTTATTTACTTCAGTATTGTTGAAAATAAATGACTCCTAATACAATTGACTTCTCATTGACGCCTGTTTTGGTGTTAATTAATTTACTGGCCTCATTAGGCTTAATTCCAGGCATAACAATAGTTTCAGTGAGATCGTGAACCGATCAATGTTACAGTATTATTGAAAACATGGAAGCACTTGGGAACCGTTTCGTCCTAGTATGAAACTTCTCAGCAGTGCTCATCCACGGTTCCACACACGAGTTCGGATACAATAGTATGAAAATTCATACAGATTCTACTTATCAGAAATTGGTTGTTGTTGTTGTTGTTGTTATTATTGATTTATTAAAGTACAATATTGGGTCTGGAGAAATTGATTCCTCAACTGTGAAACGCAAGGGTACAGTGCTCTTTTATATAGTTTATTCGTAATAGATAATATTGGTCAGTGACAATATGGAATCACTCCATTTTATAAATAATAGGGTATCATTTTTCGGGACTTATCAAACCCGAAATTAAGTAATAATGTACTGTTTATGCGTTAATGATTCGGGATAGATTATACGAAATCCTCATTGTCAACCTTAGCGGTGGAGACAGTCTAATCAACTAGATGCTTGCTGGTATTATTACATATCAGTTATGCAAATAGCTCTGCAAGTTGAAATATAGAAGATACTAGATTCCGACCCATTCAATTCGGTTTCACTGTCTCCTCCCACTCCATTCGAAATTGAACACAGGAAAGTATGAGTAAGTGGAGTTTACAGTAAACAGAGAAATTTCTGGTCAATGGACATTATTGAAGAGATATAGAACAGTGAAAATGGTGGTTTTTTAACACAAGTCAGTTTTAGGAGAATAGCCATTAGGAAATTCGTTTGCTGTTAGTGTTGTATTCGAAGAGATTTCATAGGAGTTGTCTGTTTGTTCTGGATCATTCACAATGAGATCAACACAAAGAGTATCTGAGGTCCATGTCACTCATATCTGCTTATCAAGACCATTTAGAAGTGGGCTACACGTCTCATTGATCTGCTTGTTTTAAGTTTCTATTTCATGTTCACTCACATTGTGTTGTTTATTGGATGGATGATTTTTGATAGGAACCCTGATAACATCAGAGTTTGTCTGTGTTTATGAGCTTGTTGATATTGTGTGAAAGAATATGGAACTGATCAGTCGACGAGTGATTTATATGACTTCGTCCATATTCTGAAATTCATATTGAACACATGTGTTGAAGTTCTACTTTGAACGTAGTGAGATAGAGTGTAATATTTATCCAATATATAATGTTGTTTCGATGGGGCACCTGATTTTTCAGAATGTTTCAACTTTGTCAATGACCACTTGTGTTGCGGTGTAACTCAATGTCTTAGTACACAAATCCTTACTTATCTATAAAGTTTTATTTAAGTAATCCAATATTGTAGTAAACAAGAACACGGGTGGGGACAATCGAATGTATTTCAGTACAAATTACAAACTGTCTCATTCAAATCTGATAACCATACAGTTGACAGTTAATTTGCAAAATAACAATCAATTGTCTCAATATTGACTGTTACTTCTGTAAATATCAGTCCATCTTCTTTGATTTCATTATTGTGTTTCGTTCCTGTTCTTTCCTTTTCGATTTTCGGCCAAAATACATTCTATGTCTGACCTACACCATATACTACTTATGTGGATATAAGTAACCCACACCACAATATGATGAATCAATTAACAGTTTATAACCTATATCAATAGAGTTGATAGTTCAAATGATATTCTAACTTAATTAGAATACCATATAGATCTAACAATTTCTATGTCTCATTCAGATATTTAAACTCATGTTATTATATGCATGAAATATCAGAGCATAATATGCCATAAATAATAAATCTCAATAGGTACGTGTTTAAGATATTTATAGTGGAAATTTAGTAGCGGGTTTGTGAAAGTATAACAGTAAATTTCGAGAGGAATATTGGTACAAAAGGGGTACCATATATATATATATATAAACCACACAAATCTCATTTGATTTGTGTAAAGGCTGTGATACTTCTCAGATGCCCAAACTGAAGCAGGTGGTTTTCTTAGGGGGCCACATTCAGAGCCTTTGATCTAAAGGTCTGACTCACAAGACAGTAGAGCATTGTGAGGAGATACAGTCCCATGGTAGCCGGTGACCAAAGATTGATTCATACTCCATTTGTTCCCTCAGGATACTGAAGCCCATGTGCACCATTGCTTTGGAATGAGGGTTTTCCAACTGCCCCAAGGTGAACTTTCCGTGTCCACCAACCCAGTTAATGCACCGGACATTCACTTTTCGTCCTCTGAATTTGGTAATACCACGATAAGGCAGTGAGTAGTATTTCTCTGGAGGAGGCTATATAGGGGTGGCCATGTGAGAGCATTTGGAGAGGTAGAGCTGACTCTCCTCACTCTTGGTCGTACCGGGGCATTTGGGGGCAAGCCACAGGTTAGCCTGGAAAAATAATGTGTGAATTTGACGTTCTTATTAACAAATTCATAACTGAATTTTAAAATAAATGGGTGTTAAACACATGTTCTGTATTCCCAGGGAATGTTTCTCAAAGTTCCCGTCATGTTAGCAGACATTCACCGAGCTGGTTTAATAATTACATCTCAATTAACCTTTCAAGTGTTGTACCGTTATTAGACGCAGTATTATTCATTTTTTTAGGCTGACGATAATTATTTTTATCCCCTATTGACAATTAGTAAACTTATAGCCGAGTTTTTCTTTAGGAAGTTTCTAATTTTTTTTAACCGAAACTCAACCACCAACCTGAACCGCTAAACATTTCTATCATTTTAAAATTTTACGAGTCTAGTATACTTCTACTTTGAGATAAGGTGGTATTTGGACGTGGTCAACAGGAAACTCAGGACCCGGGTTTCGTGCTACTTGGCACTTGTCAGCAAGGCTTACCTGTAATCTTGAGGGCCACATTGCAACCTGATAGAAAGCGTTCGATCAGCACTGAGAAGGACTTGACACGCATGAAATTGATCACCACCCAGTAATCAATCAATTGTGATTGCATCTCAGTCATACAGGAGGTCTGTCGCAGCCCAAATAGCTCAGTGATAACGTCTCTGACTGTGAAGCTGAGTGACACGGGATTGAATCCATCAGGGAGCACCAGTTCCATCAAGATTACAGGTACACCTTCCTCACGAGTGACAAGTAGCACGAAACCCAGGTCCAGGGTTTCCTGTTGACCATCTTCAACCACCATCTTATCTCAACATAGTACACACAGTTTCGAGCCACCTAGACTAGTTGCCACATTGCAACTTGCTCGATAGCATTTGATCAACACTAAGAAGGACTTGAAACACATGACATTGATCACCACCCATTGATCAATCAATTGTGATAGTTCAACTTAATCGAATGTAAGAATAAGTCTGTATGTTATTTTGAGTATTAGACCATAGAATGAAGTTTCTGTCAGAATGACCCGTGTTTGTTTTTCGCCTTACTTTCAATCCAACTTCTTATCATACTTACAAAATGTTATTGTAGTAAACATGAACACTAGTGGAAAGAATCGAATGTATTTGGTCACAAAATTACAGAACCTTATAGTAAATAGTTGATTTGTAAAATGGCAATTCATCGTCTCAAAATCGACTGTTCCTTTTGAAAATATCAGTCTATTATCTCAGATTTCAGTGTTTATGCATTTTTATACTAATTGCCTTTCGTTTCCGTTCTTTCTTTATCGATCTTCTGCTGAAATACATTATATACCTGTACATCTTTATATACTACTTATATAGATATAAGTAACCCATACCACATGATTATTAATCCCCTTTTGTCATACCAATGACAAAATCTTATCTGCTAAAGTTTTCTACTATTTTATTAGATAAATGCCCTGGTACGTCTGAGATTGGGGAGAGCCCGCCCTATCTCTCGAAATGCTCTCATATGACCACGCGTATACAGCCTTCGTCACGGAATTCCCTACTCACTGCCTTCTTGCAGCATCACTATTGCTTACGAAGTTGAGCGCAAGTAAAGCGATTGTCCGGCGCTTTAACCGAGTTGATGGACATGGAATTTCTACCTAGGGGAGTTGGAAAATGATTAATATCTAATTTATCTTGTATCATAGATTACTCATATTCATCCTTAAAATTGTATAATCAGAAAAAAAAAATTTTTTTTTTCCAATCAATTATTTCATTGTATACATTCTGTTTTGTATCTAAGAGAAAAAAAATATTCTGTCAAGTCAGTCGTTTTTCTCCTAATTTTTTTTTAATTTTTTAAATTTAGGACTAAAACCAAAAAAAAATTTTTTTTTCCAGACTTATGATTACAATAGACAAAAAAATCAATATTCAATAATCATAAATCACTATGAATGATTCATCAATATTGAATTAGACTAATTTTATTGATTTTGTTTAAATTTCAATCAATTATTCAAATTTTAGAAGGGGTTGATGGATAGTAACTAGTAGTAGAATCTAAGATGTGTGTTTCGTTTTATTTGAGACACGTCAGTTGAATGTATCTACAGCTAAGAGTTGATGTTCACTCTGAGAGTAGAAACCAGTATCGTTTGTTTCAAATGCAATCAAGTTATCCACTTAGCCACTTGCTTGTGCAATGGGGTGAAGTTTAAATTCACTTAGTACTGTTTATTTGAATCTTCCCATTGGTGTTTAGGGCTGCAATTGATCAATCTCTTATCGGCCATGTGTGCATACTGTACGTATTGCCTCGATATAGCCTTAATTAACAAGCATTATAAGCAAAGATGGATAGTGTCTACGAGTGCAATCCAGTTTGACGCGT